AAAAAAAAAAAACCTATTATTATTCAGAGTACGAACATGTAATCAAGGTAAACTTCTAAGAACCTGCCATCTAGAAGGCCAAATACAATGGTAACCAATCATTTATAGCCGGACAAGCCAAACTAACCCTAGCAAGTCCTTAACAGTTAAGGACATCAATTCTAACTATAATCAATTAAGAATAGGGATGGTTCAACAACACCAAATACTTGATACGTTAAAATCATTAGAAAGTACACTACTCACTCCAAATAAATTCTAATTAAAAATAACAAGAAGAAAATAACAATCAAAATAAAAGTAACCAAGATATGAGGTACAAAGGTATTTAATTTCATCATAATCAATAAATATAAATTTTAGAATAATATGCTTTCAAAACCAATTAATTGAATGTTATTGCATGTGATGGTTAATTTTTCTAAATTAATTAAGTAATATTTTCAAGTCAAGTTAATCTTTTCCTTATTTGTTAAACTAGTCATATCTGTATTTAATTTAAAACAAACAGGTGAATATTAAGTTATGTGAAAATCTCTAATTTTAAAAGGGGGAACTCCTAGTTCTCTTCTCTTTCTCCACTACCAAATGTAACACTAATTACGTCTCAATCTCATAATCTACCATATGATTTATATTATTATTGGTGTAATTCATGTTATATTTTCTTAAATTCATGTGATTTTATATTTTAGTACCTCATTTGGTTGAGTGGCATAAGTCTTGGTTGATCAATTGATTTTTGCTTGCTTTGCTAGGTGCTGAAAAAGACAAGGCTAACCTTGGCAAGGTTGAGTTTAGCATGGCTAGACACAACACAGTTGAAAACTTGGACGAGCAAATTGAGCAGCGGAAGCATGTCGAAGAGATGGAGAAGTCCTTGGCTAAGATGACAGAACTCGTTCTTAAGTTGGAAAAAGGACTGATGTCAATCAAGGCGTTCTTACTTTGTTGCTTGTTTGCTTGCTTACTTGCTGCTTTTTATTGTGCCAAGTATGGCACTTGGGCAACACTACCATGATGTAACCCTCTTATTGTGTTTGTTTTGGGTTGAACATCTTTATATGTAGCGAAATCTAGACTTTGTCGCTTGTTTGCTTGCTTTCTTGTGGCTTTCTATTATGCAGAGTATGGCACTTGGACAAATATATTTATGTTATTTACATGTGATGAAAAATGGATGAAGGAGGTTGTCTTATATTATAATCATTTTGCATGGTGCACCCTCTTCTTTTCTTTTCTTTCTCTTTTTTTTAATCAATTCTCCTTATCTGTACATAGTGATAAAACAAAATGAATGGAATACAAGCAAGCTAATACATAAAGTGCCTAATATAATAAAAGAATGCTATTTGCACTTTACACATGATGGCAAAACATAGATAGAGTCAACCCTCTTGGTTGGAATAAATTGTAGTGCCAAAGGTAAAATTACAAAATGGAAAATGGTTACTTATCAAGGAGCAATGTTGGCGAAGCTTAACAATAGTACGACTTGAGCCACTTAGCATTCACAGGTTCCAATAATGACTCTCCCTTGTGGGTTTTGAGACCATAGTATCCATGCCGCAACAATGAAGGGACCATCCCAATTTGCAACAAACTTGGATGGGCCAGCAATGTTCCTCCTCACATGGTCGGAGGCTTTAAGAACTATCTGCCCAACTGTGAAAACTCTAACTTTGACTACACGGTTGTAGGCATTTGTCAACTTGGATCGATATTTTTGATCCTTCTCTTGTGTTGTCTAGTGAAGTGCTTCGACAGACTCTAAGTTTTCAACTTGCATTTGGCCACAGATATCAACATCGCTATCTAACTTAGATGTAGCTAAGATACGTGCAGTAGGAATTAGGACTTCGTTAGGAAGGACAACATCACAGCCATATACTAGAAACTAAGGCGAAAAACCCGTGGCAGTTTTGGAAAGGATGGCACCAATCTTGAATGCTATTAGTAGCGAAGCATTCGTTGTCTTGATAGTAAGTTTGATGACAAGATACACATTAATGTTGAAATTTAGTAGCTTGTCACGCTATGTCTAGCCAGTAGTACCTTGCTTGTTGAATCCGATAGTGTAGGCTCACACGATTATCTTGGCCACATGTGCAATCATGAATTTCTCTAAGTTTGTGATAAGCCTCTTTATCACTGATGCACCTAGCCATAATATCGCTAGGGAGGCAATAATACAACTCATGAGAAATATTAACATAAGTGGACAGATTCTTTAAGGACACATCGAGTTTTTGCTACAACAAAGCATTACTAATCTCATACCACCAGTTAGCACTGTTAGGTAACTCAAGTAAGATAGATTCACAACCATGATAGATGGGTCGCTCTTTTTGGATGACTTGGATACTGAGAGGATTCTCGGTCACAGGCACCCTTGAAGTGATTGTGGCTAAGGCATCAACCAACCTATTCTTTGACTGTGGCACTTGCTCATAGCTAAGGTTGGCAAAGGACTATTCAAAGTTTTGGCTGAGAGAGCAATATGGCACAAGGTGTTCTCCTCGAAGAGCAAAGGTACCTCAAAAGCACAAATTGCCTAGCCAAGCCGAAAAAGAGCAGGAGAGATGGGCAACAATGGCAGAGTACCCCAAGAACTGAGAATGATTACACCACTACCAAAAAGTACCAAAAGAAAGTGTATGTTGTAGTCAGAGAATTAAGGATGGAAACATATAAGGATTAGAGATTACAACTTGAAAGGCACATTTATACATAGATTATTGCAACGTCATAATAATGGCAATAAATGCACCCTCTATTATCCTTAACAATCACTCTCAGCCTAAAACGAATAAGCCTCATGTTACAAATGAACAATACGACAACTCTTCCCTTAAAGCTTTTCTCAAGAACATAAGGAATAAATGAGTAAAGGTGCAAATAAGGATTCCAGCTTTGTACTTTTTTCTATTTAAGGATGTTAACTTTATCAGTTTCTAAATAAGGGTGTTAACTTTCAATTTTTTCTAAATAAGGATGTCAACTTTCAACTTTTTCTATTTAAGGATTAATTGAATAGTGATGCTAACGTCGCTAATATATTTTTTTAGGTTAAATATCTAAATTGGTCCCTCAACTTTTATTTTTGAACCAATTCATCCTTGAACTTCAGAAAGTACCCAAAACGTCCTTCAACTTCAATTTTCAATTTCGTCTTTTTGTCAGTTAAATGTTGATGTAGCTAATTTTTTCGCTAAGTGATTAACTATTTTATGTTTTCAATATTAGGTGGAAAATCCATCATGTAAAAGATGATTATATGGATTTTTTTAATTTTAAATAATTTAAAAAGTACTTTAATTCTTAATTTTACTTTATTTATATTTAAAAATTAAAGCAATAAATATATTTTCCCATTTAATTAGTCCCACCTACCATTTAATAAAATTAAATAAAAGTTAATTAATTCTTCCATAAATTAGGAAATAATTTTATTAATTGAAAATTGAAGTTGAAGGATGTTTTGGGTACTTTCTGAAGTTCAAGGATGAATTGGTTCAAAAATAAAAGTTGAGGAATCAATTCAAGTATTTAACCTAAAAAATTATGTTTGCCATGTCAACATCACTATTCAATTAATCCTTAAATAGAAAAAGTTAAAAGTTGAAAGTTGACATCTTTATTTAGAAAAAAATTGAAAGTTGACATCCTTATTTAAAAACTGACAAAGTTAACATCCTTAAATAGAAAAAAGTGCAAAGTTGGAATCCTTATTTGCACCTTTACTCAGGAATAAACTTGAAAGTGATGATGGAAGAAGGAAGGATGTTCATTTGGGGGCTTATGGATAGATAGCCTGATCTTGTTTTTGATGCAAACTTTGCTGCTTGATCCCTTGACGCTTAAGAAACCTAGAAACTGTAACTAAAATGTGTTCTCTCCTAACCATGATATTCTGGAAGTTTGGAAATTGTTCTACAATGTTGGAAATGCAGAAAGTATAAGGACAATGGTATTTTTGGGTGGTTTCAGTATGTAAAATGAGAAGTAGAAAATGCAGCAATTCTCAAAGGGAAAATGCAAGTTTGATTTATGAAAGAGAAAAGTTGAAGATCTTAAAATCTCTTCTAGTCTTCATAAAGATCCCTTCGAAAAATAAAGGGAAAAGTGATAAATATATATATGTGTAATGGCATTTTTATAATTTATGATTGGTGGATCAGAAGTGTACAGTAGTCTACTGGGTATATTTGGGTGAGCTATCAAGTTTGAGTGGCTCTGGGCACTGTTGATAGCTTTTTGGCAGTGATATCATACCCAATGGTTTTAGCCAAACTTCACTAGTTCTAGTGAAGGACTAAAAACTACTCACTTCTAGCAACTCTTCCAGCCATAAAAATTCCATTTTTGGGGGCATAATTGAGTACAGCCAGCGAAGATAAAATTTGCAAAAGATTTGATAGATTTCCCAAGCAAAATATGATCTTTTTCAACAGTTCTCCAGGTAGTGTAACTTGTACAACCAAACTTTTTAACAGTTTCCAAAGCAGCAAAGTCTGCACAACCACCTTTGCATTGAATATATCTATAAGTTGTTGATGGAGACAAAAATAGCATCTCTGGTTAGTTTTTTTAATGGGATTTCAAGTTTCTAGTTAGCATCAAACAATTTGGTTTTGGGAATCAGGTCCATTTTCATGTCTTCACCACTTAAATCTTTCTAGCGAAGTCAAGCAACATCATCAGTGCCAAGCTTCACTGGCACGAATATATTGCTTTGCCAAACGAGCAACATTCACCCATCTATGCCTGCCAGGCCACTATTCCCATAGTTTATCCCAAATAATTCTCATGACTTTGGATTCATGGGCTTGTGTTTTTCTGCAATAAAAGCAAGCACTACAAGCAAAATGCCCTATACCAATGGAAGTCTATACCAACAGACAGAAAATCCATCTGTGTAAATCATATATACCAACGAAAAACTTAAGCCGTTAGTATACACAGGTCTATACCAACGGACAAATATATCCGTTAGTATAGACTTGGTTTATACAAACAGTTTAGTAACTATCTGTCATGCCCCAACCCAAAGGTTTAGGCATAACAAACGCCACACATCGATAGGTTACCCTATAAATGTGTAAGGCCATTTTCCTTGGCTATCAATACAATCTCCCTTGCAATTTTAAAATAAATAGTTCCATTAACAAATCTTAATCATCTCCAAATAACAATATCAAATCCCTTAAGCAAAACACAAAGTGCTTAACATCTTATTCCATAAAACCAAATAAACTTCCAATTGAGCTATTGCTAAATTCTACCAATTTATTCTAATGATTTCTCAATCCCCATGCAAAACTCGATGCTCATACTTCATCACCTGAAATGAGATGAAATTTAAAAACGTGAGTTTAAGAACTTCGTAAGTAGTATACTCATCCATCACAAACAGGCATAAAAATTGAAAATTGAATTTTTATTAACAATGATACGATAAAAGTATAATTCTTTCCTCGAAACCATAATATTTCATTTTTCGTCTCTTATGGCTGTGTAACAATTCATAATCCATGATCAGTGATACTCAATCATCAATCCACGATACACAATCCATGATCCACAATCCACAATTCACAAGTCACAATCCATAGATCCCGGGTCTATCACAATACCAACAACTCAAACCTCACAAGAGTTACTCGTACAGCTAGGACAAATAAAAGAAATCATTCCAAAAATGGTCATTTTAATAATATTGGAGAAAAACAAATTTAAATTAGCCACCTCCACAAGGCCACAATCTCATCTCAAATTTAAATAAAAATATTATGCTTGCTCCACAATTCATCCCATTCCATCATTAAAAATATTTTAGTAAAAATCATTCTCCAAAAAATATTTCATTAAAAATATTTGTATGCAAGATTTGTTTTGGGTGTCTATGGCTGCTATGTGAATTTTGTTGATTTCAAAATGATGATGAAGGCACGGTTAAGGAGTACATTGAGATATTTGATTCTTGGGTTAGTATGACATATTTGTTAGTATTAAGAAGTGATGTGTTGAATTTGTTTCTCAATGGTTGAAAGATGATCTTAGAAATCTGGTGGTTTTAAATTGCACTCAAACACTTTAATTTGCTTATATGCTAGCTAAATTTGAAGAGTTTTCCCGTAAGTAATCCATGCATAGCTTAAGAAAGAGAAATAGGAAATTGAGAAAGTGATGAAAACAAACCATAGATACTTCAACTGAACAACAATTGAAGCATATGACTTTGTACATATGATTTTGTCCAGTTTTTTTTTTTT